TAAACACACCCCGAGTGAAAAAAAAAAAAAATTTAAAAAAAAAAAAAATCCCTCTTTGCTGAAGCACTTAAAGGGAAACCCTCGGGGAGGGAGCGGTGCTGCTGTACAAGGGGAAAGTAGGGCACATCTCCTGCCCCGCAGCAGATGGAACATGACACGTACAAGGTGGAGGCCTTGGCCCTGGGTACGGCGGGTTTGATTAAACTGCGGTGGCCTCTGGTGGGAAGCCGACTTCTTATAGACAAATGTCTAGTAGTTGTAGTACAGCAATGTAATTTCCAAAGGGTCAGCGCTCCTTCTTTTCTACTTCTTGATTTCAACCAGCAGCTGGTTTGTTTGCGGCAGCTGAGTCACACTGGGCTGAAGCAAACAGCAGACGCTTGTCCTTTCTGCTGCGCGGGAGATATTTCACCACCAGAACGACGACTGCACCGTGCTTCAGGCGCAGGGGATGAAAGCAGACTGAATCGGGGTGGTTTAAGCTCTATCTGCTCCGGCTGCTGATGCAACCCCGCAGCTGAGCGGGACAAGGTCCCGTGTGAGCACTCAGCACCCATCCCAGTGCAAAGTCAGCAGGGCTGGCGTGCACCACTGCTGAAGGGAAGGTGCTTTGGGTGTTGCTCCATTAACTCAGTGAATTTGTAGCCTGGCGTATTGGGGATATTGGCATGAAATAATCTTCTGACTCTCCTTTTGCCTTCTGAGCGCAGAGATCTTGGGAAACAAGCTGGGCATTGCTGGGCAGGGGAAGGACCAGACTGAACTCTCTTCCTTCTCTCCTTTCACACGGATGGAGGAACCACCATAAAATAGGGAGGAGGATTGCACACCTCTGTCAGGGTGTCTTGCTCTGTCCTCCCTAGTGGGGATTTGCCCAGGGGCCGTGGTTGGTAGCCCTGTGGGGAGCAGGAGCTGGCAGCATGAGACAGCATTAGCACAGGAACCTTGGGCGACATCAGCAGCAATCCCTCAGCTAAATAAAGTAGCTTAAATTCATGAAATTTCCCAGCTAAAATCGATGAAGGTGAAAAATAGTCATAAAAATGAAATGTGGCCCAGATGTTGAAGGGGCAATGAATGGGTCTGTGCAGCTCCCTTGACTGGGGGAGCGGGAGAAAGAAAGAGGCTAGTGCCTCGTGCACCTTCTGCTTGGGGATTTGTTCTGCTTCACAAATTTTCAATCTAAACCTTAACACCGAGGTCCTCCCCTTGCAGTGCTGGCGCACGGCGAGCGCTGCCGAGCTCCCCGGGGGCACGGAGGGCACAGTTAACCCGAGCCCGGGGTCTCGACGGTGCAGGGACAGGCTGTGCATCGCGCAGGGCTGCAAAGGAGCTGCCTTGTGCCACCAGCGCCTGCCCCTGCCACAGGCACTGCGATGTGTGTGTGCATGCATATATGTGTATACTCATGCAAGCTTCTGAAGCAAATATATGTATATTTATGTATGTATATTTGCTTCAGGAGCCTGCACAAGACCCCTGCTTGGTGCTGGGCATCCCAGTACCAGGGAAGCCTTCCCTTTGGCTTCTGCTGCCTGGGTACTGCTGCAGGTGGGGAACGCCCGAGCTGAGGTGCTGGGAAGTGCTCGGTGTTGGTCCAACTCTGGCTCTCTGGGAGCAAGAGCAAGACCCAGCATGGCAAGTTGTAGGAACCCTGCTCCTGAAGTGCATAATGTGTCCCCAAAACGCCTGCCCTGGCCTTGCTGGCACATGCCCCTCTCTGTCTTGCAGAATCATTCACGGCCGACCACAAGCCGCTCATGGGGGAAGCCCCAGAAGTCCGAGGCTTCTTCCTCGGCTGTGGCTTCAACAGCGCCGGTAAGAGATCACACCCAATGCGGGCATCGTATCCCGGGCAGAGCCCGGCATCCACAGCCGTGTTTGGCCTCCTGGCCTCATCTAGGTCCTTGCTCTTCCCCCAGGGATGATGCTGGGAGGCGGCTGCGGGAGGGAGCTGGCTCACTGGATCATCCACGGGCGGCCGGAGAAGGACATGTATGGCTACGACATCAGGCAAGTCACCCTGGCTGCCCCAGGTCCCCGTGGGCTCCTTCGTGATACCCCTCGTCCTGGGGTGGTCCTTGGGGATGGGTTCCGAGGCAGGGCTGGATGCTGGCGTTGGGAGCGGGTGTCGGGCAGCGTCTGTGCTGCGGCCCGTGTCCCTCCGAGGAGCTGGAATCAGTTACGCTCGATGGCTTTAATGAATTTACACGTGGGGTTTATCTCATTTGCCTCGTCCCGCTTCTACGCAAACAGCTTCCATCAGACACGAGGAGATTGCAGTAATGGGAAAGGACAGGGTAATTATGTTTGGGTTTTGTTGTTGTTCAATTAGTGCTGTGCCTAATCCTCTAAGTTAATAATCGGGGGTGATGATTTCAACAGGAGAAAGATTAGCTTTCCCCTCCCCTGCAGCACGACATGGGCCAGGAGTTTTGACTGTGCAGATGTTGGCTCTGTAATTGCTTTTGACTCGCTTGATTATATTTGATTGGGTTTGGGCTTTCTTATAGGGCTGCTAGCGACAGCAACCACCTTGTCAGGGACAAAGCTTTTAAAATCATGTTGCTTTAGTGGCAGAGGCGGTAAACACCCCATTGACTCGGGCTGGGAGGAGAGGGGAGTCGGTGCTGGTGCCTGCAGAGGTCAGCGGGAGATGCCTCCAGCAGCCTTCCTCCCCCAGCCCTGCAGCCGGGCCAGCGATGGCCAAGCCCGGGACGGGGGAACCCCCGGGTGGGCAGGCACCGCGGC